ATTATATACTATTAAAGTCAATAGATTTTAGGGGATTGAAAATCATTGATCTGATGTTTCTTTGAACTTTTTGTGTAAACCACTTATATCAATGTTTTGTGCACTGGATACTTATCTAAAATGCTTAACTACCTGATCTTGTCAGAACTACAAATCAGACTCTCCTGGGGTATGGTTGAGGTATTAGAATTATCTATAAATGCTCACATTTTATCTTCCTGAATGGAGAATAGTGACAAAGTGCTAGGCAATCTCTCTCTCCAGGGAGCACTACACCTCCTCCAAAATCACCTGACCCATTGTGGGCCAGAGGTAGAAAACACCGTTGGTGTCCTCTGTTCCACCCACTGGCCTCAGCTTCCCACACAACATGACTTTATTCAGGGTCCCTTTGCTCTGCTGTCCGAGGCCAACTCATCTCTTTTCCTTGGCACATTGCTTCCCCCACCCCGCCCCCCCACATTATACCATAAGGCTGAGCAGCTAAAGCTTGAAGCTTCTGGCTCTCAAGGTGTCTTCCAGACTGGGATGTAACTCTGTGTGAATCTGGTATCCAGCATGGAGTCCTTGAGGCCCAGGGGGACTTGCAAAGTCCAGACTGGGCTTTGACAAGGGTTGTGTCGGGAGATGGTAGGAGAGTGAGAGCTCTCCCCCTGTCCTTTTCCTTCATCTCATACTCCAGAGGCTGTCCACAAGATACCTTGTGAACTACACACACACCACATAGCTCATATCCTCCTTTCCTGGCAGGTGGTGCAATGGTGGCTAGCACAGGCGTGCCTCAGTTTACACCACTGCTCCTCCTCCCTGGATCTTCGCTCTGCTGTCCAAGTGGCCCCAATAAAGTATAGTCACATTCATCCTTGCCTCTGGCTGGATTCCAGAAAAGCCAGATGTAGACACCATCAAGCAGGTATTATCTAGAATAGCCAGGAAGTAGGTCCTTCCTCATTGTTATGTCAAGTATGAAACAGAAATTGTTTTTATGGGTATGTAAGCCATCATTCTTTCTGGAACTTAGCCTTTACGACATTTTTATATACAGGCAGCCATTCCAGGATTTATTTCCTTTGAACAAAAAAGAAGAACATTTCTGCCAGTCCACCTTACTAATTTAAAAAATCAATTTTCTTCTAGATGCATATAGGAATAGAAATCTGGCAATCGCCTGGCCTTAAATTTATACTGAACCATACTTACATGTTAATATGACATTGTGTGTATGTTAGAAACATTACATCTTAAGATATTTTGTGAAGTTAACCAGCCCTATAAATGTCCATTATTTTCTCTACAAACAGAAACTCCAAGAATGATTTCATCATGATTAATGAAGATGGAGTGCCCATATATAAACTTCAAAGAATTCTTAGAAGAAAATAAACATATTTGTGGTGCACAGAGGAGATGGAAAGCAGGCAGGAATGGGACATCTATGGGTGAGGGAGGGCATCTCTCCATAAGCCACTGTGTCATAGAAGTGATTTTGAGAGCAAGGCAGTTACATTTTCCAAATATCTCATCCACCCCAAGGCGGAGCCTCCCCAAAGCCTTCAGTCACCCTGAATCCCAACTCTTACCTCTTCTTGGAGTCTGGAGCCCAGACCCTACTGCACACAGCCTCATGCTGGCAAAACTGCACCATCTTGTTATCTTTCCAGAGAGCCATTGGTGTTTCCCTACTCTCCACCTCTCAGAAGTCATTTGTTCCCCCTGATTTCTGCCCACCCCATATCCACTGGCCCCCGCTTCTCACAGCCTGTGGCAGTCACATGTGCCTCAAATAAAAAGCCTTTCAAAGAATATGAATCTGTTGCTCATCAGTTTAATTTGCACATCTCTGAACCCTGGGTATAACAGTAGAGGGGAAGACATTTCCTCTTTGCAAAGAGTAACCATGGTAGATTCATTGCTCTGTTACCAGTAAAACATCACCAAGGCATTTGTCTGTGTGTCTGAAAGCTGTGCCCATGAGTGATGCCCAAAGCCATGGAGAAAAAGAGAAAATCCAAGTAATTGCAATTGTGATGAATTTTATAGGTGCAACCACACCTTTTTAGCCCCAATTAAATGACTTGCAAATGACACTTGATGAAAACCAAGGGTTTCTACAGAAACTAGCTAGCTAGTGAAGCAAAACATCAAGGCAAGCCCTTTCCTTAATGTCACAACTAAAATGGACACTCGGCTTTTTTTTGTTATAAGTAGGCATTTTCAATGGTCCACTTTGAAGACAGCTACTCATTTACTTTCATCACACCCAGAATCACCTAGCCACAGAAGATCAGTGGATACCACCAATACTTCACCCACAACTCGCCTGATGCTCTGCTTGCCTGTTTCCTGCGGGCTAGGTCACAGGGACCTGTTATTTGTCGGACCATTCTGATTGAGATGAGAAAGGCAACAACAAACCCAATTTCTCCAATAAGACCCAGCTCTCCCATTAACCTCAAGTTGACACCACCCCACCCTTGAGCTGCCTGGATACAGCAGAGATCTGCATGGGACTCCTGTACTTCCGTCCTGGGACCCTGGAATGCCATCTTTATGAGGAAATCGTTACTGTGCAGAATGAGGGATTTTCTTTAAAAGTTAGTTCATTTGAAGACTACGGACATTCGAGGATTTCCTCAGCTACCTGTTTTCTCTCCATATTTGGTACATCATGGCCTAACTTCAGACCTTGACCGCACACCTTGCCCCAGGAAGGACACGTCCTATTTACGACCCACAATCCCACATGCCACCCAGGCACAGCCATGAAACGGAGTTGGCTTCTCCATGGATCTAACACCCAAGTGCTGGGCAGAAATGCCACTAGCAAGGTGACGGTGACGGTGGATGGTGATGTCACCTTTTCACAACACATCAGGCATTCACGAAATAATTCCTGAACCATCCAACTGCTCCCATTTATATAATCTCCAGAATCATCCAACTGCTCCCATTTACATAAGCTCCCTGCTTGGGCAGAGGTGAGAAATCAAAGTTCCCTTCACTGTGTGTGTTCCCAACATGCAAGGTCATCTTTCCAACCACCATGCACAGACACAAACAAGAATGGAGGTGGCATACTCACCCAGAGAATAGGAGCACTAGAAAAACCTAAACATTTCCCCGGGAGAACAAGTAAATGAAAACAAAAAGTTCAATTTTCCTAGATAAGACTTTCACAGTCAAGTGTAACGTATTTTCCTTGTAATGTGCGTTTGTGAGGTTGAAAAGAGATTTGTTTCCTGCCCATGAAAAATACCAAGTGACAATGTTCTAAGGGGAAGCACTCATCCAGCAGCATTGTTTTCACAGACTGCTTCCTTACATGGAAAACTCCTTTGTGTAACTATTTAAAGATAATTAAAAAGAAAAAGAAGGGCTGGGAAGTTGGCTCAGTGGTAGAGTGCTTGCCTCGCATGCATGAGGCCCTGGGTTCGATTCCTCAGCAGAAAAAGCCAGAAGTGGTGCTGTGGCTCAAGTGGTAGAGTGCTCACCTTGAGCTGAAGAACTGAGGGACAGCGCCCAGGCCCAGAGTTCAAGCCCCCAAGACTGCCAAAAAAAAAAAAGAAAGAAAAAAGAAAACTATCTACCATCCATCCGCAGGAGCACAATTTAGATACTGGGGTGCACTTGGAAAATTTAACTTCAGGTCATAGATCTCAACTTATTTGATGGAGTAGATTTGTAAGTTGTTTCCAGACGGAAAGGGACAGGCAGCGTAGATTAGGTGAGAAGAGCATGCTGTCTGGAACATAAGGACTCCGGGATGGAAATACACAGCATCCGTGAGACTATTCTAAGAAAATGATGATACTCTTGATGTTGGGTCATGTGGCTCCAAGTTGTAGCAAATGAAGAGAGCAAAATAAGAGGGATGAGCTGGATTTGAGAAACACTGAGCCATTTCCTGGGGGCCATTAATAACTCACAAAAGCAAACACAAGCCCTCTCTTCCCTGTGGTGTCCTGCTCTGACTGGTTTTGTTTTAGGGTTCTGGTGGTGCGAACTCAGAACCTGGGACCTACTGTGCAGGCAAAAATCCACTCAGACATGCCTCTCACACCCCACTCCTCATGCATTTACTTGGTGATTCTGAAGAGTGTCTCTCGCTTTTTGCCTAGGACCACAATCATCCTACGTCATTGCACTTCCCACCAGAGCAAAGATGACACAACATGTATGCATGGTCGCACCCAGCCAGCTTGTCTCTGTTGGGATCTTGCAAACGCTTTTGCTTGGGCTATCCTGTACTTCAACATGGTCTTCCCATCTTCCCCATCAATTAGACTGCTGAGTAGCTAGGATTATAGGCATGAGTCCCTCCCAGCCTCAGTGGGGATTTGAGTGTTTTAACAGATCCCTGGTTCTTTTATATTGAGATAGGAAATGGGTGTCTATCATGATAGGGGTAAGTTACATTGAGCAAAGAAGAGCTTTGTAAAGTGAGCTTTATTTTAAAAAAAAATGATGAAGCTGGGCGCTGGTGGCTCATGCCTGAATCCTAGCTACTCAGGAGGCTGAGATCCAAGGATCGCGGTTCAAAGCCAGCCCAGGCAAGAATGTTCGTGAGACTCTTATCTCCAGTAAACCACCAAAAAACTGGAAGTGGCACTGTGGCTCAAGTGGTAGAGCATTTGCCTTGAGCTGAAGAGTTCAGGGACAGCACCCAGGCCCACAGTTCAAGCCCCACAACTGACAAAAAAAAATGAATAAGGATGTTTCCTTTTTCTGTTACTGAACACCTTACTGTCAGTAAATATCAAGGTCAGGGCCAAGCAGATGCTGGGGTCCCCGGTCACCAAGAGAATGCTGCAAACTTTGTCTAACCACAGTGTCAGAAAGCATGCCACTGGGACTGTCCTATGCCCAGCTCAAGTTCAAGCTCATGGTTTACTGAGCCCCAGGTATCAGTGAAATGGAGAAAAGAAAGAAGGTGAGAAAGTTAGTTAAATAGTTTAATCAGAGCAGTTTTACAATTCTAAAATTAACAAGCAGACCAGTAATAAAAGAGCTCCAATGTTCGCAAAATGATTTTGCTTCCATTCTGAATCTGTCTTTTTAAATTGTAAAGATTAACGTTACATTTAAAAGGACTCAAAATGGAGGGGGGGGGAAAAGAGAGAGAGAGAAATGGAGCAATTTCGATAATCATTCATGATTCATGATGCAACTGATGAAATCCCTGAACGACTATTGCTTCAACTTTGATATCAAAGGAAAAAAAAAAGGGAAAAAAAGAAAGAAAGAAAAATCGGGGGAGGAGCTCTCCCCACTGATAGGAGGTGGCCAAAAGAAAGAGGGTCACCCAAGACCACGCTCAGGTGCACAAGGTGTCACGTGATTGGATAATGACATTGGCTCCGAGAATACAAATGAACCCACGGCACGCAATCACTAGAATGATCATGAACATTCTCTTACGTTGCTCAACCTGCTTCTGAAGGTTTCTTGGTTCGGTTAAACTTGCATAATACACATGCAATGAGTTATTTCTCTTGAAAGTGTGCGTGTGGTTGTTTGGTTTCTGTTGTTTTTGATTTTTTTTGCAGTCATTTTTTTCTTTTTGTTGTTGTTGTTGCTGCTGTTGTTACTGTTGATTTCATACAAAGATTTCAGGAAGCTGCTTTCAGAGTGTTATCAAAATAAAGAGCAGGAGCAGATGGGGGAGGGCAGATATGAAGTCGCTGAACAGAAGAGCCTCCTTCCATCCCGACACATACCACCGCCTTTTGGAAAAAAAGGTGCAAAAGGCTTTGCTTACCTTCCCCCACCAAAGGAAAAAAAAAGAAAGGAAAAAAAACCACTCACAAAAACCAATCTAAGTGAAAAAACAAAGGCTGACATAAAGAAAATAAAAGGTGTCTGTTCATGCACATATCTTCTGCATAGCTCAACCCACATATAGTAAGGCACTATTCTCCTTCACAGATGCTGTCTGTCCACGGCCCTCTGATGAGTGCCACAGTGCTCGGGACCCTTACACAGTTCCTTTCCGGATGGTGAAATGAAGAGGCCGGGTGAGTGTGGCTGTCACGCTGGGCTGGAAAGGTCCCTGGGGAAGACCTCAGTCCCAGGAGCCTCCCAGGTCCCTGGTGGGGGAGACTGTCTGGGCGTGGGACGGTCCACCGTGGTTCTCTTCCCAGAGTTCCTATGTAGTCCATGTATGGATTTAGATTCTTCTTCGGTCTTTGTTTCTCAAAGAAAATACACGAGGTGGTGGGAAAAAAACAGCCAAGTCCTCAGAGATTGACTCTGATGCTCCCAGAAAGCACAGACCACTGGCAAATAACAGAATCAGCAAGATGTTTCCAAGGGGGAGGGAGGGAGGGAGGGAAGGAAGAAGGAAGAAGGAGGAAGGAAGGAAGGAAGGAAGGAAGGAAGGAAGGAAGGAAGGAAGGAAGGAAGGGAAAAAGAGTTCTGTTTGGAGTTTCAAAGTGGTCAAGGTAGATTTTTAATTTAGCTGGTCTTCATATTGTTTCCGGAAGCAATCTCCAGCTGGGAAAAACTCCCAACATCTCTCTTGATACATCTTCCAGACGTACGATTCCTGCAAACAGCAAAGGAAAGTTTGTCCATTACCACAAAAATAGGAGAGAAAGAGACTCAACTTTATGGTGATCATATGTAACTGGAAAAGGCTAATTCAGCCAATTCCAAGCTGACATCACAGAAATCGTTGTCTCCTAGTAACAAACATGTGTAAACATTCAACTTGCCCATGACAGAAATAATGTCAAAAATGGGTTTGTTTCATGTGGTTTCCAGGAGTCTCTTCAAATATTATTAATATATCCTTCTTCAACTTCACACTATTAAAACATTTGTGGTGAGCAAGGGAACTACTCAATAGCTTGAAAGCCCCAGCCCTGTAATATTTAGTCATGGTGAATAGACCACAATGAGTGGATGCTCATTTGAAACCATCAGCTATCTGATTAAGCAATCGAGGACATTAGAATTAGAAACACGAAATGTTCTTGTAATGGGGAAGGGTGGGGCAAACCTCCAGCCCACCATTTTCAGCTAATGAAAGCTTATTTTGAAATGTGAAATTTGAATTTTACTGATCCAAAGAAGGCAATGCCTTCCACACTCATTCAAGATAACAGGAATTTTGTGCCAAGACATCACAGCTAACATCTTTAAGTGACCCCTCTTGGCTAGTGTGGCTCACTCCATTCCAGTGAGTTTGGCATTTCTTCCTGTCATTCTCCCTGAGGATGGGGTATAGAAACAGAATACTTTACCTGACCTGTGTGTTCTGTTTCATCTTTGTTTATGAGATACATCAGAAAAAACCTATGGACATAGAGAAACAGGAATAGACCACATCAAGTATTAGTATTAACAGCCAGGAACTTTTTCCAATATATATTGCATTCCATTGTAGGTCCAGAGAAAACACCACACAGTATGTTCACAAAAAAAATTTAATTTAATTTAAAACAGCATGTTCACAAACAATAAAATTAAATTAAATTAAAAAAAAAGAAGACACCACAAATACTTACTTTGGAAAAATAATCACAGTGCACCACAAAGAGTTAAGGGTAGCTTAGGACATAGCTGTCCACTTTGCTCCCCTCCTTTCCTTTTCTTTCTTTCTCCCTTTCTCTCTCTCTTCTATGGGTATTGAGGCTTGAACTTAGGGCCTGGGCACTACTGTCCCTGAGCTTTTACACTAAGCCACAGCTTCACTTTCAGCCTTATTTTTTTGCTATTTAATTGGAGTCTGATGAAGCTTTCTGCTTGGGCCGGTGTTGACTCACCATCCTCACATCTCAGTCTTTCCAGTCCCTACAAGTACAGGTGTGAGTCGTGGCTTTGTGACACGGCTTTTCTAATGTGATACCCAATTTTACCCTTGAAGCATGTTAGCTGAAGGTAAGCAATGTATACAGTTTTGCCAGGACCAAATCAACACTTTCAAATTGTAAATGATGACTAGCTTCAGAAGATGCTCCAATTTACCAATCAGTTCAATTGACTGTTCCACCAATTTTACGTCCCCCTGCAATGTTATTCAACATTGCTTGTCTATTTGGTGCTAAATGTGGGTCAGAAACTAAGACTAGTATTTTACCAAACTAGAGATGGGGTTAGCCCAGGAAATGGCAAGAGTTCTCTCTTTGTTTTTTTTTTTTAATACAACTTTTAACTAAGTTTCTAACAGTGCCTCAAGAGTTTTCTAAATCTCAGGTGGAGTGAGAGAGAGAAAAAGGAATAAAGATTCACGGGTCTCCAAGGATTCCTGATTGAAATAGGAGCACACCCAAGACTCCCCAAAAGGCTCTGTGGAGAAGATTCTGGGGTCTTCTACTCCACTTCCTCCAAAAGAATTGCTCACTTCCAGAGCCAGTCTCATCCAGGTGTGGAGAGGAGCACTCCCCAAAGCCTTTGAGACATGGTGCAGAGCGAGTCTCTGGGAGGAGTGGGCCTCTGGGAGGAGCCGGCTGGGCAAGGGGCAGGGGTTCTGAGACAGGCACTCACAGGTAATTGGCCAAGTTGTGCTCCTGTAATGTGTGGGTTTCGAAGCCATGTGGCACTGTGTCGAAGTAATCGTTGCCAATGCCGCAGATAAAGCACTTGGTCTGGAAGACAGAGGGAAAACAGCCAAGTGTCCGGGAGGCCAGGGGTCAAAACGGAGGGAGCACAGGGGCGGCCAGCCACCGGCAGCTCTCGGTCCTCTCCGGGCACACGCGCGCGCTTCTCACGCCTCTGAATGCACACGTCACAGCCGCCCCGCCTGCACCTCAGCTGCACATGTTGGTTACATGGCCTGGGTGCCAACAGGAGGCCAGACCGGACGTGAGGTGCTAAGCTGCAGTGACTCCTCCTCATTTCTGTGGCCTGTCTGCCTGCGTCCTCACCTGAGCTCCCTACCTCCTCATATAACGTCCCCACAGGACAGAAAACCGGCACCAGGCAGCCCCTTGATCCATCACCATTCAGCGAGGGCGTGTCTGCTCTGTGCCAGGTATGTAATTCCCCACGGGCCTGTCCACGCCCTGCTTCCCGGCTGAGTGTTTCCCCCCTCCCGAGTGTCTCCCACACCTCTCTACAAGGCGACTGCTATAGAGCACCTGCTTAGTTCTGCCAAGGCGGGCCTGATCCTCAACTGAGGGGACGCAGACACTCCACCTCCCACCGGGGTCTGACACTCGGAATGACCATGCATCCTCTCAGATGGGGAGCCCGGCACTGCCCAGGGGACACTCACCTCCATGTCCTCCTTGACCTGCTCCTGCTGGTCTCTCAGCTCTCCAAAAGCATCGATGATTAAACCTGGGGTTAAACAGACACAATAAAAGCTTTGTCCAACAGAGACATGTAGTTCAATTCACAGCTCCTTGGCTATTCTGTGGGAGGAAAGGGAAAACACACGATCATGATGGCAGATGTTCAAAATGTGGTAGAGTGCAAGACCACATCTGATATGCCTATCAGGAAACTCTCTCTCTCCCTTCTATCCTTCCTTCCCTCCCTCCCTTCCTCTCTCTCTGAGCAGAAGTGCATGCATGCAGTAACTAGGATGAATACTCATTCGAACAGCAAGAGAACCTGGCAGTCAGTTTAGCCTCCATGGGTGTATGGTATATCTCTATTTGCCTCTTGCTGAGGAAGAGCCATTGAGTAAAACACAGACAACTCCACCAAGGTTCTCAAGTATTAACTTGAAAATAAAGTTGTGCGCTGGTGGCTCACACTTGTAATCTTGACTACTCAGGAGGCTGAGAGCTGAGGATCGAGGTTCTTAAAGCTAGCCCAGGTAGGAGTCTATAAGATTCTTATCTGCAATTAACCACCAGAAAGCCAGAAGTGCAGCTGTAGCTTGCATGGAAAAGTACTAGCCTTGACTGGAAAAAGACAAGCAAAAGCACGAGGCCGAGTTCAAGCTCCAGCACTGGCACGAAAAGAGAAAAGAAAAGAGAGAACAAACTAAAAGTTGTACCATATCAATTAAGTCTTCTGCATCAAACCACTTTCCTACAAGGTCCCCATAAACCATATAGTTTTATACAGTGTGGCAACTCGAAACTACATGGAGCTGTTCGGCTTCCGCCTCCTCTGTCTCCTGGGAGGAGTCTGCACACACTTCCTGCCAAGCGCTTTCTGACTTTGCTCTCTTCTGGAACAATTTACCGTTATACTCCATACATATGAAGATGTGTTCCTGCACCTTGCCAAAACAATAGCACCAGTGTATGCTTCTGGAACTTAAAGTATAATATCACATTGACAGATAGCTCATCCAAACCTGGATGGAGGTATTAACAGAAAAAAATCAACAGGGGTGGTGTATCTGCGGTGAAAGGAAGGCCACGCCGCTGAAGTGGGCCTTGCAGTTTCAAGCAAGGACCTGGAATCCAGACGAACCGGACTAGATCAGATTCACATTCCAGACAGCATTGCGCAGTTGTGAACTCTGGCCATGTCACTCAGACATGCTTCCACACTTACTCCCTACAGCTGACTCAAAGGAGGTACTCAACAATGGCTGTGGTGTAACAGTCCAAGATGTGCTAATTATGTGCTAATTATATAATTACATACCACACACACACACACACACACACACACACACACACACACACATACATCTCCTCTATGTGATAGATCCATAAGGCTAAATGGTTTTTCTCCCCTTAAAAACTCATAAACCCATTAAGTGGTAGGGTTGGAATTCAGGCCAATAAAATCGTTCCTGGATAAAAGCAAGAGACCATTAAAAAAAGCATCCAGTGCCACCCATCCCAGGCCCACACACCATCATTTCCCCCTCTACAGAGAAGGAAGGGCTTTCTGGGATCTTAGCTGGAAACACAGGACACTGGGGTCCCACCCCGGGTACTGGCTCCAACAAGTGGCTGAGCTCTAGAAGCCTGGGGACAGTGCCATGGCTCACCTTGTATGATGGCCAGGAGGATGACGATGACGAAGAAGAAGAAGGTGATGTCGAAGATGATTCTGTAGATCTCATACTCGTCACCTGCAGGGTCCTCAATTTCATCACCAATGCCCCCTCCGGCACGGACCCCCACGTACATGTGGAACATGTAACACTGGAAAAGAGGGGCACAGATACTCCTCACAGTCACCCCCCACCCACCATGCAGGCCATGCTGCCCCCAGAGCCCCGACCCGTCCCCACGCTGAAAACGCGTGTTGTCTTTCTGTGCGAAACCTTGTCGATATAAAGGATGGTGCAGGCAGTGATGATTCCATGGCGTAACCCTTTAATGAACAAGTTCCTTACATGAATCCCAGGAAGGGAGAGACAGGAATGTTGGGTGGATGCAGTCGTAATACTAGCGAAGATGTGTGTGAAAATGCAGGTCGGGAACGTGAGGGGGAACGGCAGAGACCCTGGACACTGGTCAGGATGCATTTCTACACTCATGGACGTGTTGTGTTGACATGTTTCCCCCGCCCCTTGGCACAACTGTTTTCAGACTGGGCAAATGGAAGTCCTCGTGCGTGTGATGCAAGCCTGTCACCGCCTTTTAATCAAAGCCCACACTGCGCTGTCTGCTTCGTGCCCTTGGCTGCACTCCAAGAAAACGAAACATACTTCATGAGCATCCTGGCGGGCAAGCCCCCCATGATAATGAGGAACGATCACTTCAGAGGGTACACATGTGTACCTCATTGTACTGTCCAGTTTATTCTGACCAAGGGAAATGGAAACAAAAGCCTGGTGCAGTAAAAAGTGGCACCGGAGAAACCAAATCAGAACAAAAGCAGAGCACAGCTCTCAATAACCTTCGTCCAATCTATCATACACAGAACAAGGTGCTAGAATGGTCTACTTTTTACCTCTGCAATAAACACGACAGAGAAGATAAAGGATGAGGAGACAGCAGCTCAGAGCATAAACCTCCCCCCCCCCGGGGGGGGCGCAGTGGGCAGCCATGATGGCGGCCATCGCTCCATGCAGAGAAAGGAAGCTCCCCTTCCCCCCCCCCCACAAAGTGCCTTTGGGGCCAGACTCTCAGCCTTGGCCATGCTGGCCTCTGGGGTTGGGGTGTTCTTTTTGAAGGGAAGGTCATCTTGTGTGTGGTGGATTTTTAGGGTTCTTTGATCTCACTCCATAGATGCTGATGGCACCCATACCACAGCAACCATTTTTTACAAATAATGTCCCCCTGGGAACAGAGTGGTGCTGGTTTGAGCGCAAGGGGTACAGAAGATCCAGTGTTTTATTCCTAGTCAAGATAGGCCTCAATTCTCTACTTGAGCTCCCAGAAGTCGGCTCCATTCATCCCCACGGGGGTCACCCAAGCCCTGCTCTTCACCACATCCTTCACGTCAACCATTCCTGGTCCTGGCTCTGCTTTAACCTTCTCTGAGACTCAATCTTGGCCAAAAAGCAGGGCAGAGGAGAGGGGAGAGAGCTAACTTGGTGGGGCATGTGTTTCTTCTCTGGAGCACCTCAAAGTCTCCCTGGGCCTCTCCTTTAGGGGCACGTGGGAGGAGACAGGGGACTGTAACCCCAGGGGGTTCACTGAGCTGCCCTGAGGTTCCACTCCTGCAGGGATGAACTTCCTGTACATGTCCAGTCCAACTCCCCAGCTACCCAGTTACCATCCTCTCTCTATCCTTCATCCACTCTGTCCTCCTGCACTCTCCGAGTGGAGAGGAGATAGGAAGGCCCCGGGTTAGTGAGATTCTCAGCTCAAAGCACCATCATCCAGGAAGGAATCCATGTGTGCATCACACAGCCCATAACTCTGCAGCCACAGCGCCACCTGCTGTCAGCCATGAAGTTTCTAATGATGAAAATGTTCCCTGGACCCCAAGGCCAAAGAGACAGACAGGGTTGCTAAGGAGACCAGCGCGGCGTCCACTCAACGCAGCGGGAGTGGGGACATGCACCTCAAGAGAGCCTGCCCACATCACAGGGAGCAGGGACTTCATCCTATGAAGAGGAACGATAACGAGAGGTGGTCACACAAAGATCTCACTCAATCATTCTCTCCATTTCTGTCTCTGGTGGTACTGAGGTTTGAACTCACGATCTCATTTTTCCAGGCAGGTGCTCAACTGCTGAGCTACACACCTCCAGTCTGTCGCTGGTTATTTTACCTGGACCACATCAAGACTGTGATCTGACTATTTTATGCCTCCTGTGATAACTTGAATGACAGGTGTGTATGCCCTCTTACTTGACTTCGTACTTTGAGATGAAGTTGCTGGATGTTTTTGTATGGGCTGCGCTGGAACTGTGATTGTCTTGATCTACAAACACTCATCTGACTAGAATGGCAGATGGCGCTGTGCCCAGCTATAGGCTGAGGAGCCAACTTGACAGCCAGGTTGGCCGTCTGAGTAGGCAGGATTACACATGTGAGCCACTGGTCATACAGCTCAAGGATTCTCCCTAAAGACCTAGACTGGAAAAGTTAACCTGGAATTTCCTGTCACGTCCTTCTTTAAACATTTTTTTTGTCAGTTGCAGGGCTTGAACTCTGGGCTGGGCGCTATCCCTGAGCCTTTCTGTGCTCAAGGCTAGCGCTCTACCATTTGACCAACAGTAGCGCCATTTCTGGTATTTGAGTTGTTCATGGGAGATAAGAGTTTCATGGGGACTTCTCTGCCCAGGCTGGCTTTGAACTGCAATCCTCAGATCTCAGCCTCCTGCAGCTAGGATTATAGCTGTGAGCCACTGGTGCTTAGCTAACTTGTGAGCTTTGTAAAGTAAATGATGCTCAGAGATTAGTGACAAGTCAGATGAGAAACGGATACAGGTGCCTCTTGGTGATGAGATAGTACACTCTGGGGTTTTTAATGGATAATGATCTGGCCGTAGGCTTGTCAGGACTCTCCTGGTACCAGACATCCTTGGGAATGAGTCATGGGCTAGACCGGTCCGTGTCTGAGAACCAAGTTTCCTCCTCTGTGAGGAAAATGTCAAGGAATGTCTTCATGGTGAGCCCAACCTCACACCGCTGAAGGCAGGGTGAGGGGTACTTAGCAGAGAGAGCAATGCTACCCCAGAGCTGGGCGTGTATGGTGTCACTCAAAAGGACCCTCAGAAATCTCTCAGGCTTGTAGAAAATCTGGATTCTAGCTTAACTCATTGTTCAGACTTTCAAGAGCCTATTTCCTTACCCTAGAGTGAGACAGATTTCTGTTTTCTTGGCTCACATCCCATCCATACACCAGGCAAACGACACTGTCGTCCTACCGCATTCCTTAATTCAAGTTCAAAATCAAGACTAATCACAGGACAAGAAAAAACTTGTTTTAGGCTCTTAAAAATGAAAGAAAATATACTGGGCCAGAAAAATAATTGAAATAAAAGATAACTGAGATAGAAAAAAGGTATTTTAAAAAATGAAAAGCCAAGTCAGGTAGCAGTGACTCCTACCTATAATCCTAGCGGCTCAGGAGGCTGGGATTCTTAGGTCTCAGGTCAAAGCCAGCTTGGGTGGGAAAATTTGTGAGATTCTTTTCGCCAAATAACCACCAAACAAAACAAAAATTTAAAAAACGCTTCCCTGGTCTACAATCCCACTTCCTATAATCCTATTATAATACTGCTTAGATGTTGCTTTTCCCACTAGAAAATAGTTTTCATGTCTCTCCCAGCATAGAAATGGAACTCATTTTATAAACAGTTGGCTTTTTATCTTACTGAACTGATCATTTGTCTTTTAAGACTTCGTTTGGTTATTCTTTTTCAAAAAAATAATTGTTATATATTCATGGATCCTATGGTGGGTTTTTTGCACTTAGGATTTATATCATTCATAGAAAGACTTTCTCTCATTTAAAAATGATCATTACTAAAAGGATTCCAACCTGTTGTGTTATTGAGTGAAATAACAAACTGGAGTCTAGTTTGCTCTTTCTCCCGGGAGCTTGTCTGGGACACCAGTACCTTTTTCTGCAATAAGTCCACTGTATGATTGCAAAAGTTTCTTTTGCTATATTTCCATGAGCATCTGCACCTGTTTCAAGACTGTACTCTGTCCCATTGTCTTGTCATTCTGTAGTACAAAACTGTCCTTTTTATAAGTCTTTACAATATTTGTATTTCTTTTATCATTCTTTTATAGAGTTATTTACTGTTCTTTATATTTGTGTTGGTTCTAGGAACTGAACTTAGGATCTGGACATAGTCCTTTAGTATTTTTTTCCACTCAATGCTAGCACTCTACCACTTGAGCCCCAGCTCTACTTGTGGTATTTTGGTGGTTAACTGGAGATAACTGTCTCATGGACTTTCCTGCCCGGGCTGGCTTCAAACCGTGATCCCTGCTCTGGATAGCTAGGAATACAGGCATGAGCCAGCAGTGCCCGACAATATGCTATTTATTTATTTAGAGAAAAATTAATCATAGCATTATACTAGCTTCACAGATTCTCCTCCAAACCCCTAATTATATAGGTTTCTTTTTCTATGACAAGTTCATTGAAGGAGTCAGCCTTTTCCAGCTCGTGGTGCATAATTTTGTCTAACCTTAAGTTTCCAACCTTAAGCTAAAATACCCACTATAAAAGAAGTAGTAGTTCTATTAATATATCTTTGGATTTTAGTAACTTTAGTTAAAGTCCTTACAACAAATAAGGACTTGTGATCCTCCTACCTCTATCTACTGAGTGCTGGTACTAAAACTGTGCATCACCACATCCGACTTGCTGATACATTTTAAGAGCGTATTAATGTCCTGTTGTGCACAGGATTTTCTGTTTTGCCTGTGTGGAGAGAAAAGTGCTTTGGTTGAAGACACAGGATAATTATTTCCTTCATGACAGCGGAGGTAATAAACTTACTGTTAGCATATCATCGCATTTCATATCTGGGGTGTCTCCATCTTCACTTTTGTTGTAGAACTTCCGGAAAAAATTGAATGCCACCACAGTGTAGAGGTACACAACAACAGCTAACAAGCCCACAGTCAGAACGAGCTGGAAAGCAATGCAACATGGGACCTGGCTTAGACATACAGGAAGTGGACGGGCATATCTGTCCCCTGGGTGGGAGTGAGCATGCTAATAAGGAGACATCTGACTTATGGCCTGGAAACAAACGGGACCCAAACCTTCATTATTTTTCATCTGTTGGGGTAATTTGGGCCCAGAATGGAAGAATTTATTTATGTATTCTCTTTATTCTATCACGTGGTCAATGCACTCATTTCATGTGAAATTTTACTACTAAACTGGCTAAGAAATGCACAGTAGAGCTTCTAGAGCATAAATAAATTATGATTTCATTTCACCTCCAAACCCAATTGGTAATATCAGTAGGCAGCTTACAACGTGCACTTTTCGATCTAGGATTGAAGACTGCATAGAGGACTCTTTCCTTTCCCATGAAGTGAATTTTCTGTAAATAATGTATATTCCTAAGAAAAATCCATCTCATTTTTTGTTAGGCTAATACCAGGGATAGTAAATTCTTTTCATCTTTTCCAAAGTCAGGGAACACAGCTAGTAATAATGTATGATATAAATTATTTTTAAATACTACATCGAAAAGCATTGCTTTGAAACACAAAATGACCAACCATTCCAGTGGAAAAAAACACGTTTAAGACCAATGCTATTTCTCAGTGTCCAACTAAGCATCATAGTTGAAAAGGCCTTCTGTAGTTATAAATAATATTTAATTTTAAACTATGCATTTTATAGAAAGATAACTATGATACATCTGACTTGAGTACTGGGTATATTTTTTTTTCTAAAAGTGACCTTTTTAAAAAATTATTTTATTGTAAAGGTGACCTTCTTTTAACCAAGTTAGTAAAAATAAAAATAAATATATTTCTGGCTCTATCATGGAACATCTCTATGTTCATTAAATCTTCACAGAATCACTTTAAAACTGTCCTGAGACAATTAGCACTCTACCACTTGAGCCACAGCACTCCTTCTGGAATTTCAGGTCTCCTAACAGATGACTTAATTCATTCCTGCAGGTGATGTGCAAGGTTTTGCACGTTTTACCTGTGTGGACTATTAAACCCTATATATTGCCGCAAATGAAATTTGATGCTTCAACAGGACAAGGAATCATCTTTTCAGAAGCTCAGAAACTGGCCACAGTGCCAGATCCTTTGTGTAGAAATACACAATAGATTCAGTAACGCCACTTCTTTATATAAGCACAGAACCTGAGCCTCTGGCATGGGAAAACCTTGGGCGCTATGATGCCACGACCTGCCAGGAAGGCCATCCTCATACTTAGAACCTAAAGTCACTTGGAAGCTACATACTGAAGTCAGAACCCAAGGACCTCGAGGAGGTGAGCAACATGGCAGACATAGCGCAGATCTCTAAGCAACAGAGATCTTAACGGTTACTAGGCTAGGAGACTCTGGACACAAAGGCTCATGGATGCCAATAAGTGGTGGCAAATGTGTTACCACCCTGTGGGCAAATGAATGAATAAGTGTGTGCCCTTGCTTGGGTCTGATAACAAGGAAAGCCTGAACTCAGAAGCACTGATTTCTGTCAGCACATCAACTATCTGGCCCTTGAACCCTTTCCCTCCAACCTCGTATGACTTTGAAATTTTATCTGTTTTTTTATTGTTGTTATTGTTCAATTTAAATACATATCCTTTAGTATATTTAAATTTACATATAGTTTACTTCACTATATGTAAATGTAAATATATTTTAAATATCACATTGAGTGAAACTGAGGCATCTTATGCTTTATGACTAACACAAGAAGCTCATCAAGACGCCATGATGTTTTTTGGCTCCTCATTGTATGAAATGGAGTAAACCATGGTTCGTTAGGAACTAAATAGTACCTAATTTCCTCAGTGCTTAATAGGTGTGGTTGTAAGTCCTCTAGATCTACCTTCATTTAATTTTCACCAAAATCTAATGGAGTAATTTGTTTGGTGTGTATGTGTGCCGGTACTGGGACTTTAACTCAGGGCTTGGGTGCTGTCCCTTAATAGTTTTTCCTCAGGTCTGGCACTCTACCACTTGAGCCACACCTCCTTTCCAGCTTTCTGCTGCCTAACTAGAGATAAATGCTGCATGTACTTTTCCTACCTGGGCTGACTTCAAACTTCGATCCTCAGATCTCAGCCTCCTGAGTAGCTAGGATTACAAGGGTGAGCCCCTGACACTCAGCCTTTGGTTATTTTTAATGAGTAAAATAAGAGAACTGAGATCTGGAAATGTTAATATGCCTAACCAAAGTCACACAACTAACTGATCAAATCAAGACTAGAAATCCGGTCTCCAGGCTCCAAAACAAATCCCTATGGCTTGGAAAAGAAAGGATTCTCCCCTCCAGTTTGCACAAGGAAAGAAAAGGCTCAACCTACCTGTTTGCCATTGTGAGTCACAGAGGAGAGGATGGTTCTCAGGGTCTTGAAGCCCATAGCAATGTCGAGAAGATGAGCAGCAAAAAAAAAGTTGTTGTAGTGTCCAAGAACGGACATAGTCATATACCAGGCCAGGTAGAGGAAGGACTGTCCGGACAGAATGGGGAGAGAAGGTCAGAAAACACAGCATGGGCTGCTGTCCAGCTACTCACTTGTTTATGTCGCTTTCTTAATCTGTGGCTTTACCTGTGCATGCTCTCTTTGCTATTTTCTTTACTGAGATGGTTGTGCAAAGTTCTGAGTTATTTGTCTTCTCTCATTTACCCTCCCATGGAGAGAACTTTACTGAATTACTTCCAGGAAGCAGGGTTTCTCAGCCTCAGCACTACTGATATTGTGGATCTGATCATTCTTTCCTGTGGAATCTGTGCCCTGTGGCTCAGGGGCAGTTAGCAGCACCCCTAGATGCAGACAGCACCCAGCTGAGGCCACCAAAAATGCCTCCAGAGACAGCCAACCATCTCTCCTGGTGGGAGGGGGGAGGAGGAGGGCAACACTGACCCCAGTGGAGAACCCTCCTCTCCGGTCCACCAAAGAACCAACCACCTTTCCTTCACTCCGCCCACTCCTCCCCTCCTTTCTTTTTCCTTTGATTGGTGTTACTGGAGATCGACCAGTTCCAAGAGATGACAGAGGAGTTTTGTTTTCATTCTTGCAACCTAAGTTTAAGTCATAAGCTTGGGCATTTCCTCTTCCTTCAGCCTGTAGTTCCTGCCTTTGACCTTTTCCAACCTAACTTTGATCTTACTTCCCTTCTGTCTTTGCCAATATTGGATTACACTTCCATACTACAAGTTATTCTCTTTTGCTGATATGAAATTTAACTGAATATCCTGTATTCCATCAGACAACCCTAAATATGTTTCAGACAGAACCATACTGTTGAGTGAATATAGTATGTGTGGAGAAGGGACTGGCCGAACAGAAGCCATAAAAACACTCCAAGTGGCTCACAGGCTAAAAAGGTCTTTAAAAGATGTTTGGAGCCAGGGGCTGTGGCTCACACTTGTATTCCAGCCTACTCAGGAGGCAGAGATTTGAGGAGCCTGTTGTGAAGCCAGCCTGGGCAGACACATCCATGAGACTCTTATGTTCAATGAATTAAAAAAGCTGCGAGAAGAAGTATGGGCCAAGTGACAGAGTGCCAACTTTGAGTGAAAAAGCCAAGCAAGAATGTAAGGTCCTGACTTCAAGCCCCAGGACTGGCACCAAAAAAAGAGAGAGAGAGAGAGAGAGAAAAAGGAAAAAGGTAAAGAGAGGAAGAAAGAGAAAAACAAAAGAAATAGACTGAGATAGAAATGGCTTACATTGTCTGTGAAAACAACTCCCAGTTTCCACATCTGATACTTCACATCAATGGAGTTCAGCCTGGAATAACAAAGGGAAAAGAGGGGGCAGGGAAGGAGAAGAAGTAAATGCAAATTTTCTGGGAGAATTCCCACCTCTGCATCCCCCGTGTTAGGCTAGAAAGCTGCTCAGGAGACCAGCTCTGTGCCTGGTTCAATGGAAAAGCAGAGAGTAGCTCTGAGGGCATACGCCAGTCCTCTTTCATTAGAGAATATACCTCCCTACAGAAATATATAGTTTGACATAGCAATCATCACATCCCTGAGATTATAATTGTACAGATGATCTGGAGATGTAGCTCAGTATTGCATAATGTAATATATAATAATATACATTTCATATATAATGTATGTATTATATGAATAAATGCAATATAATATAACAGTAACATACAATGTACTATATATGTATAATAAAATGTATATTGTATAGTTTTAATCAACTGAATCTCATTTATATGTGTATATATATGTATTACTTATGAATATTGTTGCATGGAGAGAGAAAAGGGATGAATCTGATCTCAGAGAAACTCAATTTAACTGGTTGACACCCTTCTAGTTACAGTCTTATCCCAGGGAAGTGAACTTTCCAAGTAGCCTAAGCTACACAGAAAGACTCTATCTCAGCAGCAAAGAAAGGGGGAAAAAAATCCCTTAATTCCAGTTCCTGGTCTACATAGGGGCAGGGAGGCATCCTGCGTGGTCTGTTGGGTCCTGCAACACTCAGAGGGGGAAACAAGACCCTCGGGGGGCTTCTCCTCCCCAGCCCCTCATCCGCAGCCACCTCCCACACTCACACGGCCGACAGGGAGCTGTCTTTCTTGGGCTTCTTCTTTTCCCTAGCATCGCTGAAGTCCAATGCTGCCTTGTCCATACCCAGCAGCTCGCTGATCCTGTCCCGGCCGTAGAACTCCCCATACTTATCCATAACCTGTGGCAGGGGTAAAGGCACCACACTGGCCTCAGGCCTCAATACCATCCACACACCCACGTGGGGAGCATTCCGCTCTGCAGCTAAGCCAGTGCACAGACTGTGACAGAACGCACCCAGGGGTGCCCTCCCTCATGCCGGGTTCTTCTGCTCATATCGGGCCTGCCACTGGGCACGCATGCTCGGTTAGGTGCACTACTACATTCAAGGGAGACTCCTCTGTGACCCCCATGACCCCTCAAGTCAAAGTTCAATCTCAGAACTCAGCAGGTGCCACGGGCATGGCAGGGTCCCCATCCGCACCCCCTGCCTCCCACCCCTCGGCAGCTGGCCTCAGAAGAAAACTGTATTTTTCAGAGCAAGTCGTTAAAGCTATATGAAGGAAATAAAAATAGTCTTTCATCAACTTAGATCACCTAGATGATTTCAGAACAATTCTCACCCATTTTATTACTTAAAAAAAAACAACAGCAATGCCCTAAAATGCTCAGCTACGTCAGGATGGATGGATGGAGCCATGTGAGTTTACCGTGGAGCTTCACAGTATGAATTTCTTATGTGCTGTGCTCAAAATGCTCATTCAACTGTACTGGCACTTTGAAATCACATTGTCAGGAAGATAAAGCATGCCTCAATATCTCATGCTATAACTATAGCTACATCAAATTCAAAACTGAATTGTACTTTAGGGAAAAAAAAAAAAAACGAAAGTCTATCCTTTCCAAGAAGTATTACCTTTCTTTTAACAAATTTATCCCAGTAGTTGTTGGGAAATGACCTAAAAGATACAAAAACATAGAAGTGAAATAGTATTGTCTTTAAAAATGATAAATAATATAGTACTTGAACACATAATTTAAATGATACATAAACATATATTGTGTCATCATCCCCCCCAAAAGCACATTAAGTTACCATCTCACTGCAAAAGCTTCCTGCATCACAAGTATATTAAATATTATTTTTAAATTGCTTATTTATATAGAATTATACACCTATAAATCACATAAAAAGGTTAGGGGTGATACTTGCATGGAGAATATAACACTTATGAATAATAGTATTTACCATTCGATTATAACATACATCAAGATATAGATTTGTCAATTGTCTTTAAAAGTATCTAGAAATCAGTCCTTGTTTTTTTTCTTCAAGTTCTCAAAGAAACTTGAAGCCTACTGCTAATCCCTTACTCTGGCATCTTCAGTAAAACAGTTTACTGAAAGGAACCTACTTGATTTCGTGTTTATATTCACAGGTAGATTAGCATAATGAAAACATTTAGCCTTTAAAATACACATGAATAATGCATACATAAATCAAGCCCACAGGAAAAGCTCAGAACCTACCAGAAATGACAGCTTTCAAAATAAGCAGAAATAATCACAACCATAAGAAGATATTTGACCCCTGAGTAGTATAAACTACTGAAAAATATTTTATTACCAATACTTTTTCAAGGTGCCAATTACATGCTGTGATGGATTCATACTTGTCACAGCAGGTAGCTGTTTGATTCTTGACCTCCCAAGGCTAAAGAATCATTGCACAGAAAACCGTTGGGTTCTCCACATTATATTTTACCTCATCTCATACGAACGTTTGCCCAGGTTTGCACAAGGCAGCTGAATGGCTGCATCTGAAAGTTTCTAACTCGGATGCATTTCAAAGTATGAAATTTAGTATGTCTGCCTTTAATGCTACAACAATTCCTTTAATGAGTAAATGAGTATCTGGGTAAGATAGCCGGGCAGTGCCAGCTCTCTGCCTTCTGCTGTTCGCTTCTCTGAGCGCTCCTAATGGATGGTCCCATCAGCACGGTGGAAATGGCCTCCAGGGCCGTTTTGATTAAGGACCTCAGGTGACAGAAGGGGAGGGGGGGCAAAAATGCAGGCATCCATGAGGAGGCGATGGTGCTGAGTCTTTTGATTTTCTTGACTGAATAGATAGCTACTTTTCACTTGTGCTAAACACTGGGCAGAGCTGCAGAAGTCTGGCAAAGTGTGTTTACGAGCATGGACGGGCCTCTGCAACACCATCACTCACTGCGTGTTGATGACCAGCCTGTCCCACTGGCCCTTGATGTCGTCCTCTGAGGGCTGCTCTGTGATGTAGAGCCCGTCAAATTCCAGTTTCCGGGCAACTTCCTTCTCTCGCTTGAAAATAACCAATGGGACCTGCAGATGAAAAAGTAAACATACTACATTTAGTTTGGATTGACTGGTATCTCCTATTCAGGGTCATTGCTTTTTGGAAAACACACACAGATAGATAGATGATAAATAGGTAGAAGATAGATAGATAGATAGATAGATAGATAGATAGATAGATAGATAGATAGATATTTACATTTCCTATTTCCTATGTACTTCCAGAAAGGTAAAAATGAAGTGAAATGAATTGACTATATTCAGGTAGAAAAAATAACAACAACCATCTAGGCTGGGTGAAAAGAGAAGATATAATATATATAAATGTATGAATATGTCTTAAACATAAGGTTCATAGATAATTGTATGAATAACACCACTCTAAATGCTAAAGAGAAAAAGAGAAGTAGGAAAGCATTTGTGTGTGTATGTGTATATATATGGATATAAAAAAATCCTATCAATCTTTACTAGCATTCCAAAACATATGCTACTAAAAATGCAGTTTTATTTAAGAAATGTCTTTAATGAAGTCCATGCCCAGCATGCCCACATGCTATCTGGAGATAAATTTTATTTTTTTTTCAGAGATAAATTTTAATTTCCACATCACCAAAGCAGAAAAAAAAAAAAAAACAACAATCTCGGTCAGTTTGCCAAGTTGTCTCTGGAACTTCTTTTTTGAGATTTTACACGGGCACAGACAGAAGAGACACAGCTATTTGGGAGGCATCTAAGAACATTCACCCATGGAAGACAAGGCTCCCCAAGGAGGAAAGTTCCCTGAGAACATATTTTATGATACTCTAGCCTTTGAGCCTGGTCCCTGGTTTTAAAAGTCTTCTGGACCATTCACAATGAGAGACCAAGGAAACTGAAATACAGCCATGGCAGCAGCACGGTGTCTTTCTGGGAAAGATGAACAGGTTTGCAGGAGAATCTGCCCAGCACTTGGGGGAACTTGACCTTGAACTCAATTCACCAAATTCAACTGTTCCCAGGCACAGCGTTAGGGTGAAGTGGCATAAATTGGACAGCATTCCCAACCTAATGATGGGACAAGCAGACAACTTCCTAGTGTTACTCTAAGTCCTAGCAGACTGTGAGAGGCTGGCTAGGGGAGCTCACTTCTGTGGGGCCAAGTTACTGGTAAAACTGTCCATGCCGTCCCTAGGTCCCAACTTCAGTGACCGAGACGTATGGTTGGGCCTACTATGTCTGCCTATGACCATAATTTCCATCCAACACCTGGCTCCAGTCTGCATCTCTCCCCCTCTCTCTCTCTCACATACACACGCACACACACACACGTGTAAGTTGGCTGGTGCCCGCATCTCTTACCTTCAAGCAATAGTATCCAATGATGCAGAAGAAGGAGATAACGGTGTGGAGGATGGCAAGGATGCGCAGCGTGGGCTCCATGTAACCGCTGCTCTCCTCCAGGACATAGTGGACCGTGATGATGTGGGGTGTGCTGCTGTCCAGGCTGATGGCCACGTGGGTATTTTCACTGGGGCTTCGAGTGGGCAGCTCCTTTCCTTCAACCACAGAAGAAGTGGAGACCTGATTCCAACCATTGAGAACACAGTCAGTTGGCTGCACAGCACGGATACAGCCTTTTGGGCAAGTACTTGGATGGAAAAACCAATGCACAAGGAAAATAGTCCTCTCAGTCCAAGGCTGAGAGGATACATTTTCAGATTTTATGTGTATGAAGGGGTACAAGGTACTTGGGTTTGAATTCTGCACCTAGGTGCTGTCTCTAGAGCTTTTTCATTCAAGGATGGCATTCTACCCATTGAAGCAAACCACTTCTTTTGACTTTTTTCTGATGAAGTAAAGATAAGAGTCTCAGACTTTCCTGCCCAGGCTGGTTGTGAACTGTGATCCTCATATCTCAGCCTACTGAGTAGCCAGGGTTACAAGTGTGAGCCACTGTTGCCAGGCTTGTTAATAAATATACTTTTTTAAAACTATATATATATATATATATATATATATTATCTTTAAGTAGTTGCACAAAGGAGGTACCATTCAACAAATCAATTTGCAAGTACAATGCATCTTGATCGGTGGCATCTTTTCATCATTCTCCTCCATCCCTTCCAACCCAACCCTTCTCCTCAATTTTTTTAGTTTCACAGTGTATGTCAAGTGTTATGACTGCACCCCCCACCCAGCTTCCTCTCTTCATTGGTCTATTTCCCCTCCACCCCCGCGCCCCTTGGCCTTTCCTCTATACCCTTCAAGGGCCAGACCCAACCAGAAGTTGTAAGTTTTCTAACACCTGCAGGAAAATCCTAGATGACTTTCTTCACAAGGGCGTGATACAAGTTAAGCCACATCTACATAGTAATGGATAAGACAGTCAGCTAAGTCAGACAGGGAACATGGTGGTGGCCTCTCTGCCAAAGCCAATGGAGCCGAGGTCCTGGGGATTCACAGTTCAGGAGCAAACTCTTCCTGCCTTCCTGGGTCCCAACCATGTACCCTAGACTCCCACTGCTGCCTCTCGGTCAACTGTGCTTTAGAACAGGCTCTGATGTGCTCACTGGCAGAGCGAGGAAGTCTGCACATTTGTCCCATCTCTGGGTGGGACAGGCTGGCCAGGAAGATACTGAGACGTACCTACCTTATAAAACAGCAGGATGAAATTGATCGCAAATGCGACAAACAAGGCCAGCATTCTCATGTTGTAAAAGTTGCGAGCAAAATAGTTCTAAACATAAAAAAAATAATAATAAGGTTATGGGAAAGTCAGAGTCAAGAGACTTGAAACACACAGATGATTGAAATGAAGCGTTCACTCAACCCTGTCTGCCAGGCTACTGCATACAGCAAGGGGGAAACTTCTGATACCACGAAGGAGACAATGAATGAAGAAACACACCGAAAATAAAGAAGACATGGCGCCAGGAAATTCTAAGCACTGTGAAGGAAAATTGCCAGGTGGGGAAATGCAGTGGTAATTTGGATGGCTAGAGAGGTGGTCTGAGAGCGCAGCCGAGGAAATCACGCCCACACTCAAGAATGAGTCAGAGGTAGGGATTGGAGGGCAGACTTGATTGTGAGGGCTTCCTCATGTGTCTGAAGTATGGGGTTCATGAACCCCAAGAAGAAAAGAGAGGGAGGGAATAGGGTCATAGGGACCAGCATGCCAGCTGTCAGGTGTCAAAGATTTCTGATAGAGTTTGTGTCATCTTTTATAGTTCCCCAGTTCATGAACTCTGAACCTATTTATGACCTCTAGGGTCACTCTGCTCAGACAAGATGCCTGCCACCACCACTTCCTAGATTTGGATATGGATAAAAGACTCACCCCTTCGGGGGACATCCCTGCTCATCGATAATATAAAAATACCCACAGAACCTGCCTCTCAGTGTGCTCAGACGAACCGAGTTCATCTAAGCCACATTATTAACCTTCCTATCATACTCATCGGTATATGTGATCCTCCTGCATTATAATTAGTCTCTGCTAGGTGGGTGAGATGGTCTTGGAGGATGTGAAGAAGGCTGGTTGCAAGCTGATTATGATTTCCGCTGTGTGGAGGGTAGATGGTAAGGAATGAGCGGCGGGAGACAGAAGAGAAAGATGGTGTGGGCGGTGACTCGGCTTGAGTGGCAGCTGTAGAAATGGAAAGAGCTGAACAGATCCTGGATATAATTTAGAAGGAAGACTTGAGAGTTATTGCTGGATTATATTTTTGAGAAAGTACTAAAAGCTAATAACATCTGGGCTTAGGAGGCAGGGAAACTACGTAAATGACTGGAACAATTTATTGAGTTGGACATCACAACAAAATCACACTCAAGGCGTTGATGGAAGGAAACAGACCATGGGGAAATCAAGGATTTGTTGTGTTAGTAAGGTGGCAATATAGGTAAAGAACTCAAGCAGATAAAGCGGGGCTTTAACATCCTAAAGTTGTATGAGAGTAATAACACCTCTGAGGACCACCCCCTTCGCACATGTAGCCTTCATGGGACCGTTTGCTTCGCTTCATTTGGCTTCACTGCCAGCACTGGTTAGGTTAGATCAAGGCTGGCCTCAATACTCACACTGGACCAAGCACGTCGGTTCTCCTTAAGGGAGAACTAGGTGGCCGAGACTTGAGTTAGGGTTAACCCAGAGGGTTGGTGGTAAAGGTGTGAAGGACAGGGGATGTGTTGGCTGGCTGTAGCTGTGATTGGGTCGCATGCGTGCAAGTGGTAGGTAGAAACCGTCAACGAACTACAAGCCGAAGCAGGACCATAAAGGAGCTGCTCAAGAGACAGGACTGGAGAAGCTGGCTGGGAAAAACCTCAACTCCTTCAATCTCTATTGCTGTAGTGAGACCTCATCTCCACGGTCCCGCTGGGATTTCTGTGGAGAAACACAGAACCCATCTCAGCCATCTCGACAGAGCTACACCTGCTGCTATGGCAACCATGATAGTGCACAGAGCCAACCATTACCGAGAGTTCTCATTTAAAACCACCACCACAACAAAAAATGCTGCTGTTCACTTTACTTTGTAACAATTCAGGGGAAAAAAATATAAGATTTGGAGAAAACGTCTGCAGAATGCATTAACTACATCCTAAACTACTTCCTTCTCTGTCTTCTTTCTTATTTTTTTCTTTTCCTTTTACTTGTCTCTACCTGAAAGTTACCATCAATAACCATTTTGGCTCCTTGAGTTAATTTTTTTTTTTTTTTACAATTGGGTCATTAAGTCAAAGGGGCTCAAGTCATGTGACATGTGGGGGTGATAGGTTTGACAATGGGAGTGATGAAGGGGCCTGTTTTTCTCCCCGAGAAAGAAGTTATCACTTCCCGAGCCTGAATGGCTATGTTCTCACAGCTAGTCGGTAGTAACACTCGTTTAGAAAGCCTCTTACGAGCAGTTTCTGTTGGTACGCTATGATCTTCTTCCAGAAGGCCGACTCCGGGACCTCTGGCTCTCCATATCTGTGCGTGTGAAGCTGTCTCAGCTTCTGCTTGCCTTTGTCCTCCTTGGCTTTTTCTTCTTTCTCTCCATCTTCCCCCCTGTGGAAATGAAAGAAGGAAGCAGGGCTGTGCAAAATGATCAAAGTGAACAAGTATTTCAGAGGCTGTCATTTTTGAGGACTCATTTCTCTCTCTCTGAATAATTTTGGTTAGCAATGATAGGATTTATCACCATACCTCATAGATGGGTAATTCTATGGGGTTCAAATCTACAGGACATTACAAGCTTGAGGAACATTTCTACTCAGATGTAGAAAATTCTCCCTCAATTGTGCCATAAAAGTATTTGATTTAAAATGCCATAACAATGAAGAAATTTGGCTTTTACTAACACATTTAAATTATGACTTTTAATGTTCATTTTATTCCACTGCCTATCAAGATTTAAAATCAAAGGCCTGTGCTCTTGTTTTGCTCATGTATAAAGTGTGTCAAAGTGCTACTATACTGCATATTTACTTAATTGTATTAACTAACACTTATTCATTTTAATATCATTGTTGATTATATTGTTGTATTAAGTCCAGGTAATGACAGAACTAGAAGGATTGGAGTTTTATACTAAAGTTCCTTTGGCTCAGAATATCAATGTTTCCTGAAAATGAGATCATATAACCATAATCCACTCCCACAGATATAACTCCATAATGAGGTATATCTAATATTAGAGCTGCCACTGAAGTGCCTGTTGTACTCTGCTCCATTCGTCTATTTTCATGAGGACAGGTCTCCAACTGATCAAACTACATGAGACCTGGGACAAGACATAGTGCTGACCATCAAGAATATACAATGAACACAGGCCCAGGAAAGTGTCATCCTCTGCCCAGCACAGGGGTTTCCAAGGAAATGAGGATCGAAGGGCTGTCAGAGGTTTATAGGATTGGGTGCAAGAATCTGGCTGGTTGGATTTTCAAACAGTGTCTCTGAATTAGCCCAGGCTGGCTTTCAGCTCGTGATTTTCCTGCCTCTCTCCCAAAGGCTGGGATCACAGGTATATGTCCACCTTGCCGGGCTGTGAGCCTGTTTGTAACTAATTCCTCAGGTGGTTTTTGGCATACACGGCCTTGGCTACCCCTGAAAGAATGCCATTCTGCAGGTATGTGTGTGCGTGTGTGTGTGCGTGTGCATACACCAGTGCTAAGGTTCGAACTCAGGGTCTTAACATTGTCCCTGAGATTCTTTCATTCAACACTAGCACCCTACTACTTAAGCCACTTCTGGCTTTTTGGTGATTAACTGAAGAGTCTCACAAACTTTCCTGCCCTGGCTGGCTTTAAACCACAATCCTCAGATCTCAGCCTCCTGAGTAGCTAGAATTACAAGTGTGAGCCACCAGTGCCCAATCTAGACTTGTGGCTTTTAAGTCTCTTACGGACACAAAATGATGGGCATCTTCCCTACCCTGGAGATTACAATAGGTGCTGGAATGGACCGAGGTCCCAGCCAGTACTGAGATGGCAAATGTGGCCACGGAACTCCTTCTGGGTAAGATTCTCTGTTCCAACTCCAGAAGAGGTGGGAGAGGGGGAGAGAGAGGGACCCTCTCTGAAACACAGGGATGTACACAAAAATGATACATACTCAGCCTTTTCAGGTTCTGATTTAATTTCCTCTTTTTCTTCCTTTTCTTCTTTTGCCTTCTGTTCCTTGAACAGGTTAGTGGGGAAAAAGAAGAGCAGGGTGACACACCGTCTCCAAACATGATGAAGTGAGCACATACCAGACCAAAGCCACAAGCATAGCTGTTACTTATGTTGCGAGAACACCTCATGCACTGTTCACTCTTGAGGTCCACATGCTGCCCTAATCTACATCAACCCCTGCACAGGCAGGACATACACATGCGTGAAATCCTGGGGTCCCTTCCCACGTCCAGTCCTCATTTCAGAGGTGCTTTCTGTGCTTTACCACCCCACTCAAATCTCATTCATCCTTCAAGGTCCAGGTACCTCCCCTCATCTTTCCTCTTCTTCTGCTAACCATACTATTAACCATGTATTTGCTCTTTTGAAAAAAACAACTCTTACTCTCCATTTGACAATATAATAATTTTCTACACATTTTTATGCACGTAAGCCCTATCTGTCTATCTTTCTATATAGGAGTGATTGCTTAATGGACTAGTGTTATTGAAAGGCACTTAAGTTTATACCCTGGTAACTTAAGGTAATCTAATCATTTTCAAAGGGTTTGTCTACCATTAAAATATCGCTTCTTTTTGCAAATTCAAAGTCTTACTTTTAATCCCACTGCCAACATCCCCAAATCTAATTTAATACTTATTTATTATACCTACCTGAAATCAAGAGAGGGGAGAGAGAAGAGACAGGGAAGGGGAGAGTGAGGAGAGGGAGGAGAGAGGAAGAGGAGGAGGGGGAGGAGGAGGGGGGAGGAGGAGGGAGGAGAGAGAGGGGGAGGAGAGTGAGGAGAAGAAAAAGGAGGAGGAGAGGAGGAGGAAGAGCAGAGAGAGAAGGAGGAAGAGGGGGGGGAGGAGGGAGAGAAGAAGGAAGAGGAGGAGGAGAGGGAGGAGAAGGAAGAGGGGAGAAGAGGAAGAGGAAGAGAGGAAGGAAGAAGAGGAAGAGAGGGAGGAGGAAGAAGAAGAGAGGGAGGAGGAAGAGGAAGAGAGGAAGGAGGAGGAGGAGGGGGAAGAGAAGGAGAAGCAAAGGAGGAGGAGAGAGAGGGAGAGGAGGAGGAGAGAGAAAGAGGAGGAGGAGTGAGAGGAGGAGAAAGAGGAGGAGGAGGAGGAGGAGGGGGAGGAGGAGGAGGGGGAGAAGGAGGGGGAGGAAGAGAGGAAGGAGAGTGTGTGCTGGTGTGAGAAATTACCTGAAGCTTTTCCTGCATGTCGGGGACGGGGGTGGGATTGGCCATGAGGTCGCCGAGGCCCGCGTTGGGGTTGTGGGGGATGAGCTTGTACTGCCCTCCTTCCCGCTTCAGGTCTAAGCCGAAGATGTCGGAAAGGAGATCGCTCTCCTCCGTCAGCTCCTTCAGGTCCATGAGGTCTTCAGAGGGTAGTGCGGTCTCCGGGGGCCGCCTCTCCCCGTCCTCCGCATCCCCCCGCACCTCATCCTGCGTGGGGTCAGGCATGTTGGCCAGGAGCTCCGCCACCTTGATCTTCTTGGCCCCCTCGACCAGGCTGCCTCCCAGCAGCAGGCTGCACACAATGCGGAAGAAGCCCCTGCAAACGCTGGCCACGAAGTGCAGGAGCGTGAGGAAGACGCCCCAGTAGGAGGAGAAGAAGGCCGCCAGCATGTCCCCCAGTGTCATCTTCTTGGCCTTCTTCACCTGCTTCTTCAGGCTCTTCAGGCTGAGCATGCGCATCAGGGTCAGAACGTTGTACCTGAGCGCCAGCAGGGCGGACCTGAGGGTCAGGAGGGAGAAGAAGCTCATCCTGGGGCCCTCATCCTCCGGCCTCTCCTTGTCGCCCTCCTCTTTACTGGCCGATCGCTCATTCAAATCCGACTCTGAGATCTGGGCCGCCAGCTGCATCTCGAAGATAGTGTCCTCGCAGAAATTCACGAAGAGCTCCATCTTCTCCTTCTCCCCGCCCTCGTTGACCACGTCGAAGATGAACTGCCTCTTGGACTCCTTCACCTGGGGCTTCTCCCACTGGGTGCGGCTGGACTCGCTGATCTCAAAGTATACCCGCTCAATGCGCTTGGCACTGCCCATGATCTCGATGCGGCCCAGGAAGGGCTGGAAGTAGTTGAGCACGCTTTCGGCCAGCTCCAGGAACGTCTGCAGCCTAGAGTCATTGGGCATGTGCTCGGAAAGGTTGGTCAGGAGTACGGCGACATTGAAGCCGATGTCCTTAGCCGGCTCGTGAAACCGCTTGACAAACTCCTCGTAGTCCAGGGTCTCATTCTCGTCGGTCTCCGCACACGACAAGAGGAACTCGGTTTCAGACTGCGTGTAGTGCTTGTGGCTCTCCATCGCTTTGTGGAAATCCCTTTTGGAAATGACACCTTTGCCATCCGGGTCGTACTCTTTAAATGTGTCCGAAGAGGTCAAGTCTTTTAGTTTTAAGAACATGTCAAAAAACTTCAGGATCATCTCCACGTTGTTGGAAGATTCCACGAGCATATCGACCATCTGCTTGCCAATCGTCCCATTGACAACGTTACCTGGTGGGAAAGCAATCATATCGGTTCAAAACAATCATTGCTGACAAACCAGTGATCTGTGGGCACAAGAACAACTGAGCTCTTCCATAAAAGCCAAATCAAGATATCTCGTATTGATCTTCTAATGGATGAAGTCTCTCAGGGAAAGACAGATCATTATTCCTAAACTCCATTTTTAAAAAGTGATCACGTGACAGCTGGATGCAGTTGTTCATGCCTGTAACCCCAGCTATGGGGGAGGCAGCAAATGGTTAAGACTACAGTTCAAAGCCAACCTAGATGGAAAAGTTTCTCAGCTCCCAGCTAGGTGCCAGGGCTCACGCCGAAATATGTAGGAGGTATCACAGTCCGAGGAGAGTATGGGCAGAAAAATCCACAAATCCTGTCATCCCTGCTGTGACTGGAATCCTAAAATAAGTGAATTACCATGCAGGCACATGCCCATGCAGGGAGTGACATCCTGCCTCACGAATAGGACACTAGGCTAGAAAAACGGCTCCCTGGGAAAGCACCTGCCCAGCAAGTGTGAGGCTCTGAGCTAAAAACATCAGCAACAAATATGAAAAAGGGGATTATATGAACAATACATATAACCGTATTTACAAAATAATATGAGAGACATGCATAAAAAATTCAAAACAAAATCTGTTTTCCTCTCAAATCAAGGAAATGTGTTTTAGATCTAGAATGCAGGACAAACTGTCAACATTGAAATTGTGGGCCCTATTAATGATGCAAACAAACATTTGCACCGTTCTTTAGGGCTGAAAAACCTCTGGCAAAGCTAAAAATCTGGTTTTATGCTCTAATTATCTACAAGGAAGGTACTCAGCAATCAATTTGAATTTTTTAAAGTATTTTCAGCATCTTTAAGTAGCTGTACAAAGGAGTTATCATCCAACAAAGCAGCTCATGAATACAGTGCGCCTCCATCAGTGTCACCCTAACTTTATGAACAAGGTGACTCGGGTTCAAAAAGGTCCAATACATGTGTCTTTTGTGACGTGATCCTGAGGGTGGAGAAGGGGTTAGCTCTAGACTCCAGACCATCTCGATCTTCGGAGAGCAAATTACCAGCTTGCACTGACTTACAATGGAAATCACCCTCTCTCAGGACACAGAGATGTGAAAGCTAAATGGAGCAGGCTACCAAGAGCTTGAGTAAACTGGACAGCTTCTGAAATGACAGAATCACAGACTGCTTCATTCCTGGGACAGAAGATGCTATGGAACCCAAGACAGATCTCAGCAAACTGGGCTGGGCAGGAGGGCTGTAGCCTGAGATGTACCGAATACCACGGATAAAGAGGGGAAGAGCTAGACCTCTCTCCCACATTGAGCTCACGTGGCCAAGCAATGGGGATGGGGAGGATTTCTTAGCCTTGGAGCCTTAGTTTCCTCCTATGTAAAACAGAAGTCTGTCTCATGTGACCAAAGTGAGATTAGGCAACCCGTGGCCAGAGGAAAGGGAGAGAAACAAGAGATGACGTAATTGCAAATGTATCTGAGTTGCTCTGGTTGGATTTACGTGGTTTCCCTGCATTTCGTCCAACGTGGCTCTATGGAGGGAAGGAAAAATGGAGAAATGGCTTGTCTAAGCAGGGGTGGGAGCTGTAGGGGTGGAGTGGAGGGAAAAGAGCCAGGCTGAAGCCCCTGCTGCCTTACCTCACCCTCGTCCTCAGTCTCGACCACATGGGGCAACTGTGGTCATCTCAAAGGAACTATTCACACAGTCAGAGTTTACCCAAAGTTTGACCTTCCAGCCTATTACTGAGGCACTGTTCTGAGGACACTGTGTGTCCTCTATGGGGAGTGCTCTGACATGAAGGCTGTGGTTGAAGCTGCTTCCAGCGTGCAGTTACACGGACTGACATATGCTGCCCTTTCTTTCACAAAAAGCACAGACTTGATAACAAGAAAAATTCCAGCAATAAATCAAAATGAACCAGAGCTACTACCAGTCTCATCTTAGCATCATTGGATTTTGATGTTGTTGTTGTTGTTGTTTAGGCTGCTGGCTGCTGGCCCAGGCAAACACATACTGAGCCCCCAAATAAAGACATAAAGGGGAGCTGAGGGCATCAGGAAAAGCTACCTTCTAACATGGACAGCAACATGACCACCATGTCCTTCTGGAGATCCATTAATTCCTTCAACAGCTCGATTTGGCTGGAATCCTGAAGAGAGACACACAGATGGCATGTGAGGCAGGAGGAGAAATCATACACAGGAAGAACACCAGGCCTGTTCCCACAGAGGACATACTGCCAGCCATTCCCAGGTACCTTGAAGCATAGTGCAGTTAAATTATTTTAAAAATTGATATGAGATTGGGATCTGAGGATTAAGGTTCAAAGCCAGCCTGGGCAAGCAGGTCCATGAGACTCTTATCTCCAATTAACCACCAGAAAACCAGATGTAGAGCTATGGCTCAAAGTAGTAGAGTCTCACCTTGAGCAAAAGAGCTTAGGGTCAGCACTCAGGCCCCAAGTACAAGCCCCATGACTGGAAAAAAATAGGTATAGCTTGATTAAATTAAAGGGTATTTACTATTCATTTCCATGACTATTCATAAATGTTCTGTAAGAATTTCAGCTGTGTCTGCATACTGTGGGGGACGTCCACAATTTGTCCTTTTTATTTTTACTTGAAAAGACTTCATTTTTTTATTCTATGTCTTATATAAAATTTTGTTGTGTATTGTGTAAAATTTAACTTATTTTTTAAAAATCCAGATACATCCAGGACATATACAACATAAATTTGTCGTACATAAGCCTACCCTAAAATATACACACAGAATACCTGTGCATGATGTATCTTATTACCTAATTTCATTAAGCTTTCTCTGTTTAATCTTTCCTAGGATTTTTGTTAAGTTTTGCTTTTGATCTTTTGACTCTGAAAAATAAATATTTTGCCTAGACCTGTTGTAGATGGAAGTCACTATGTTTTGACCAAGTGGGAAAATATATATTATACTTAATATCATATCCACATTGAATATGATCTGATTTCATTTAAATTTCCCTTTTAGTTTTCTTTTTAAAAACTGGCATTTTGCTATCTATGAAACCAAATCTCCTCAGTGCTAGTGAAGACTTTTCCCTAATGACTATTATTACCCCAACTACACTTGCAAACCATGAACAATTGCTAGCGGATATAACACCAGAATAAAACAGTAACACTGTGTAAGATGGAAATTCTCTTGTGAGCATAGATATCTGTGTCCATTCCTTTTGCTTTGGAGAATGTCATTAGTAAACAGATGGAAGGATATGGAGGGTTTTCTTTTTCTATTTGGCTGACAGCGGATACTGACCATCTCTCACGGCCCCAACCCTTGCCTGGCTCCTCTGAGCTCTCCTGCTGACCAGTTCTCAGCCTTGGGGTACAAAAATGGGAATAAGCTCTAATGTGCCAGTTACAGCGGCTCCAGGCTGGATTCCTGGGAGACTCCATGACCAGGCAATGACCAGGCAAAGCTACCCTAGAACTCAGTGTCCAGACAACACCCAGAGACAGACCCTGGTCCCCATGTCTCCAGGGAAGACAGACTCCTCCCCCTGACAACTGCCAGCTAACAGGCACACAGCTAGCCAGGCCCTCCCTAACACCCCCTGCTCCGCTGTAACTCTTCTCTTCCCGAGTCCCCGCAGCTTCCTCTCCTGCCTGCTTCTTCTTTCTCCCACTCAAACACCAACCCACCCGGGTGCATGCTGAATCTGTGCCCATGTACCCAGGACCCTTGCTCTGACCGCACTGCCTGAATCACATCTGTCCTGCATGCATGAGCATGCGCCATGGCTCACGGTTGACAGCACACCTGCATGGAGGAGGCCGGTGAGCAGGTGTCCCCTCCCTTCCTCCCAACCACACAAGACCTCAGGGAAGAAGGGACTGGCCCACCCTCATGGGACGGGAAGGGGGAGGCAAGGGTGTGAAACTTTGAGAAGCACAAGAGCAGGGTTCTGACTCTAAATGCAGCCATCTTTCTTCCACGTGACCACCCAGAGATGGACTGAACATTGATATCAAGATCTTTTCTCTGGGTGCACTTTATTTCCCACCACTGACCCCCCACCCCCGCTTCACATGGGAGAGAGTCAGGAGAGGGTAAATAAGCTATTTCAATAGGAATCCCCCAATTTATATGAAAACAAAGCAGAAAGACTGCTGCTTTTCTATTTGCTCATCCTAACCACTCTTCATTTTTTCTTCGACTTGCAAGGAGTGAAGTGGAGGCATGCCACCTTTGCTTGCTTGTGGCTACTTCGAAAGAGATTCGTAACACACGCCAACTTTTTGTCAATCTCCCTTAAAAAGCCCTCTGTAAACTTTGCCAACACTTTTCTAGTAGTTGTAAAAGGAGGAAAAATGCCACTGAGCAAATAGCAGGATGCACATTTATGAGGACAGAAACGTACCATGTTGGGCATTTCCCCAGTGTTATTTCTGTATTACACTCACTACTCTGACATCCTTGGTGCTCACATTTGAACAAGGGTTCTCAGCCATCGACACTGGCCACTGGTTTACTTAAGACTTTTCTGATGTTGGGTAAAGGAAGCATGAAGAGAGGATCAGAGACAGATAACATCCAAACCCCAGCCAGCCATGCTCACGTCCTTTGGTGACTGTCAGGTGACAGTGCCCGGCATGCCCCCCTCCTTTACCTGCGACAGCTTCATCTGCATGTGGGCAAAGACGTGGAGGAAGCCCACCACCGCGTCCCACAGCCTGCTGTGTGCCAGGCTCTGCTGGTTGCCCGTGCAAGGTCCCTGCAGCACAAACACAGACAGCAATCATTCCTGGCCATCAGGTGCCCATGTCTACTGCAAAAACAGGAGGTTACTTGAACAGTTAGGGACCCACAAATGAAGAGAGAGAGAGAATCTAAGAGTGAAAAATGAAGGATTCCTCTGAGTGATGGCTTCTTCTTTGAAACATTTAGTAAGTCCTCATAAATACTTTTGGCTTTGTAAGAGGAGTAAAATACTAGCTAACAATTTAATTTTTCTTTCTGGCCTCAACCTCTCTAGAAGGAATGGGTAAGAGTGGGGAACTGGTCATCTGGCATGCTTCTCCGTTAAATCAATCAGTCATCACCCCATAGTGTAAAAAGAACAGGAGGCTCTGCTTCTGACAAAAGGTCTTTCTTATTCCTAAATAGTAACCTGGATAAGACAAGGATGTAGAGAACTAGCCTCTTCAACCCTTTCTTAATTGTACAGCTGCTTCACCATGTGACACGCTTGAGATTTCTTTTTAAGGTGAGTATTTAGTCATTATTGAAATGAAGGCTTCAGGAATACTCTGTAGGACTGTGCCTGGTCCGCAGAGGCAGGAAGAGGGGCTGGGCTGCACTGAGCAAGGCAAACTATGGCACTCAACTCAACAACCCTGGGACCCCTGAGAAACATGTTCCAAGGCACCCCTAAGGCATCTGCTCCATGGATGCTTCTAGCTCTAGAGAAATTCAGGAATTTTGCTCATTTTACATCCAAAGAGATACACATTTCTGGCTAAAAAAAAAGATTTATGTTTCACTTGCAATACAAAAACTATACATATATATATATATATATATATATATATATATATATAACACTATTTCTATAAGATTCCCCAGCTCGCTATTGTCATTACCCAAGCTGATTTAATCAGGGAAGTGACCACGAATGCTTATGTATGGCTATCCTTCTAGATTTCCAAAGGACTACTAAGGCAATCCAGAAAAATAAGGAACGGGAGTGAAAAGACAGAAACCAACGCACTTGAGTAGTTGTTAGGATGATCATGTATGCCTCTTCCATTTGGAAGAGCTGAAGTAATGACTCTTTTCTAGCTAGCAAACCAACAGTGAGATCCTTTCAAGACACGGAACACAGCCCAGAGGAGAGAACAAGGCTGGGGAGGAGACTGACACCCTTCTCCTCTTTCTCTGTCCCTCCTTCATGCCACTGAATACTTATCACCTATGCCAGAACCTGGAGATGAAATGCAGCCCTCACTACAGTCCATTGTGGGGAGTCAATTTTATCTCAGTATGCAAAATGGCAGCCATCTCACTCCAAATATACGCACATGTTAAACTAGTCTTTTATTTGTGGACATTGGTGAAAGGGGTCAATGGTTGCTGAGGAAAATACTTTAGGCATATTTAGGCAATTTTCTCTGAATTCAGTGCTAGCCCGCCAATACTTTTTTTCACTTTCCTTTCTTCAAACACCATAAATGTTCTAGTGCTTACCTGAATATACTCTGTGAGAGTGTTAAAGACTTGTTTTGCTACTTGAATGGCTTTGGAGAAGTTCCGTTGTCCCTGCTCATCAATGACATCTTTCCCAGAGTAATACCAATAGAAATCACTAATGGATTCCTAGAGAACAGAGGTCAGATCGTTAAAGCATCATAAAGTGATCAGTGGCCTGTCCCAGCATGAAATCCATCATGACAGATAGATAGATAGATAGATAGATAGATAGATAGATAGATAGATAGATAGATAGATAGATAGATAGATAGATAGATTCCAAATAAAACATACAGCAGCAAGAACAATATCAATAAAATAAACATCATTCTTTAGTGATATTCCTAAACATAAAGCAGAGAAACAACCTCTCCAGATTAAACAAACAACTCGAGTGAAGGCAAGAAGCAGAAAATGTAGCTTTAGAAATCTTCCCTGCGTGTGATGACCTGGAACTTCACCAAACAAAAGGATTCATGAAGACAAATGCTATTCACCCACGGAGTGACCTGCTCTGCTGCAGTTTTAAGATCTGATTGTTAAAATCACAAATACATTTCCAGCAACATTGCTTGATACTTTTGCTTCAAACTGATGCCCCCTACCTCCCCTAGCCAGGAAAGTTTAGGTTAAAAAAAAGGAGGTGGGGGTAATGTTGTTACATCCTCAAAGATTAAGAGAAGGCTGGACGTTATAATTTGTGGTGTTAAAAGTACTGCACAAGGTTACTATGGAAACAGAAATGAGGGAAATACAAGTCACACAGGACTGCCATTGCATAAGAGCCTTCAGATCCAGTTTGGCCCACATGTTCAATGGAATTACGATATCAAAGATGATATTTTTAAGCAGTGGGGTGTTAGGGTGATTTTTAACATCAGTGTACAAGTTAGAAGAGTTGAAGGGAATTAAATTTAGTCAAAACTAAGTGTGTGGTAACAGAAAAGCTTTCATTTCTGTAAGAACAGATAGGAAAATACTTCACAAAATGGATATGAATTTAAAGTACCAGCGAGTTAAAAATCAAGGGGGGGCATCACTCTCCATAGAAAGAAAACAATGGCAAAGGAAGTGGATCTGAGCAGCTATAGCAGAAAGATGGTGATCAAAGACACAATATGACCCCAAGTTCCATCTAATCACAAGCCCAAACACAATGAAACATGAAACATGCCTGCTTAACCCCCAGCTATGCTGTGTCCAATAACCCCAACCCTCTCCCGGCACCCAGACGCAAGGCTATGTACCTGAACCCTTAAGAGATAGTCCACAGTAGAGATAATGATGTTGACCGTCATATTGTTGCCAGTCTGTGTTCTCAGATAATTTTGAAAATCTGCATGAGATCAAGAAAAGCGTTACCGAAGCTCACTGAAGAGCTCAAGAGCAGTTCAGTCATTCTCCTGACTTGGGAAGTGATCCTGGTGGTGGTAGGTAGCATCTAATCTAACAGTGCTAACATGAAATAACCTATACATTCCTTAAAAATCAAATGACCAGCCCATTCCCTCCCTGAAACACATCTTAGTTGCTTCATAGAATAGCAATGCTCAATTGTGGGTGAAGGTGTTAACCACTGTTTTATTAGGAATGTAATTATTTATTCGGTAATCATGTGTTCCTCAGTACCGTTTAACATGCAGAGGAACAGAAAAACTCAGACCTGAGTCCAGAACTACAGGCTGGCAAAGACAGATGGGTTCAAGGCCAACAGAAATACATGAGGCTAAGTAACACAACAAGATGTGCTCTCCAGGTAAAGAAAAGCACTATAAAAGTAAACAGCTATGTCACTCTAAAGCTACCTACCTAATTCACATTGTGTTTATTGTCTTCAACTTGCATACATGTGTTTTTTCATTGTGATATTCCATACATGCACAGGATGTACTTGGAACAAATTCATCGTCTTTTATTTCTGTATCCACCGCTCTCTCTACCCTCACAATTGAGAAGAAGCAAGTGGAGACAGACAGCAATGCCAGGACTGGTAGCAGCAAAGCCTTATATAAATCCCGGCACAGAGCCTGTCTCGTCTGGGAGAAGGCATAGGCCTGACTCAAGAGATAGAGCATCCTGGTTGGGACCACTGGGCTCCTGCCTCAGCCCTGTCCGTCAGCTGGGGCTCTCACACACCTGAGTTGTGTCCCTCACAGAGCAGCTGCAGGAAGCGGAAGAGATCACAGGTGAACTCATCATCCTGCAGCACCTTCTCTCCTGTGGGAAGTGCAGAGGGATGAAGGTGGCCACCAGCAGGCAGCCCTCCCGGGGGTCCCCACCCCAGCACCCCATGTGCACACAGCACTGTTCCCAGGCCAGAACAGTCCCGCTCTATCTGAAGCTCTGGAGATCATGCACTTGGCAGATAGACGGACTTTTTCTTTGTAAGCAAAGAACACCGGGATCTTGAAGCTTCACATTTCTCTCTGGTAGGAGTAGCAGCATGGGTTCGGTAACATTTCACATACACAACCTGAAGGTTGAAATGGGGCTTTCTGTCGCCTCCTTGTTTGGGGAAGACAGTCCATACAGAAATGATCTTTGCAGCTCTCCTGTTAAACCGTCTTTGTTATCAGGGTGGGATCAAGTGCTTTGATTCAAAGTTGGAGTTGTCTTTGCTTGTTTTTTATGTACCCACACACAGTATGGGGAGCTTTTGTTTTCATTGAAAAATAACTAAAGGATATTCATAAAAACTGTTACTTGCTAAAAATGCTTGTGAAGACTTCAGAAGTGTGTGTGTGGGGGGGGGGGGTTGGACTTTTCCAGAAGAAAGGGCCTGGCAGAAAAAGATTTCATTTTTAAATATCAAACCCATAAGAAAGACTGTAAAAGCTGAGCCTTTTGGGGTCATGTAGAGACCCATCCTGTAGCATGAAAACTAGGAATCTTTATCAAGCAATGTGAAGACCTAGACGGGGGTTTAGTTGATCATGATTTATTTTGACAAGGATAGACACAGGAAAGAAACAAACAGAAAACAGTACCACACAAATGAAAGCTGATTTTTAAAACAAAGACTTCGTGAAAAATAATTTAAGTTATGAGTGTCTACTTGGGAATCTAGAATTGTTTAAAAAGCAAATGAAATTCATGATGCTGTTCAGCCAGTGAATGGATATACTTATGTATTTACAAATTTTTTTTAAAAAAAGGATAATGACTTTTCACCGACTGGAAATAGTTTGGGCTAAGAAAGAAAATGGTGTTTAATTAGAATGTTTAATTAAAATGTGTTTAATTAGAATGGTAAATGACTGTAATGACAGAAAGCCGATGGACTTACCAGTCTGCAGCCTGTGACTTTCAAAGTGAGAGGCTTCGTGTAATGGAAGCAAAATCATTTTGATAACTAAGATAAACATGTGTACAACGTATCTAAAGTCACTGTGCTCCTTTTCCTGGGTTAGACCACAAGATATGGTATCTGGTGACCATGCTGAAAATCAACCACGTCCAAAGTCTGAGGTGGACAATGAGATGCCTGGTATGTCCATTCCTCGGGCAGATGGGGAGAACAGCTGAGTCTGCTACACTGATCCATTCATTGATGATTCTATCATTTTCCTGAGCCATTTAAACTAGAAGGCTCAAGAGTTACATCAAAATATCACATTAATTACATGACTTATTGGTTCTTGGGGAGACTATTGAATGTTTCTATGCAGAAAACAGAATCAATAAACTACATCTAAAAACTATTTTTTAAAACTCTCTATATAATCAATAAAATATATCCACTATCAAGGTCGATATATTCAATGTGAAATAAGCTACTCTGTGGAAAGTACTCAGCACAATTAACACTGAAGTAAGTGTCATATAATCTCCTTATGTGTCTCAAAATTCTCAGCGTGGTTCATAATGGTTTATTACAGGAGGGACTATTGGTCCTCAGCATGTACCATATTTTCTCGATTGTACACTGAAACACATATAAGCAACTTCACTTCTGTAAGAATGCAGAGGGATGTGGGGGAGAGAAGGAGGGGAGTGCTGGAGCAAGTGTTCATTGATAAGCCCAGCGCTATTGCTCAGTGACCGTATTGGTACCAGATTAAAATGCTGCCATTGCCCATGCTGCACGAAGAGGCTCAGGAACATGGATGGAGGATGGCTTTATGTCTGCAGATGGTGCAGGATCAGCAGTCTGCTCTGTGATGGATGCAAAAGAAATCCCACTGGAAGATGGAAACCAAGATCGGTGACATATAAGGAAATGGGCTACGCAGAGCTGAAAGTCCTCTTACATTCTGAGCATATCATTTTGATAGGTGGAGGAGAGCCGTGTAGACATGTGGAGGGCATGCACGTGTCATCTTTTTTATAAGGGGCTTAAGATGTCTCGTAGTCATAAAGGGAGAGATTTGTTTCACTACTGTTCTGCTCAAGGTGAGTTCTGTTTGTTGCATCTTAGTTTACTCATCTAGAAAAAAGTATGTGTCCACTGTCTCTATATAACTTGTTAATTTTTATAAATTTTATATAGGCTAATACATTAGGAGCAGTGCAATTATACTAGACAAAGGCAGCAAGGCACTGCTGATAAATATTATTTTTATTTGCTTTATATCTTCTAAAGCCTCCTCAATTTTTGTAGTTCCCAAACAGTCTTGGAATGATAGATTTTTACTTGAAAATAATAATAAAATAATAAACGAGAAACAGTGAGTCTTACGTTAGAGATCTAATAAAGTTAACACGCTGGCTCATCTAATTAACATGAAAGTATCCAAGTATTTCCTTAGATGCAATAAAATAATTATGTGTGTGCATGTGCTTACATGTCTGTATGTGCACATGTCTGTGCATGTATGCACATGGGTACACATGCGTATGTGTATGTCTGTGCATGTCTGCATGTCTGTGTAAGTCTGTGAAGATGCTGTATGTGCATGCAGAGATTACTTACAAGGCCCCTGAACATGGCTTTTATCTCTTTGAGATAATTAATACTAATGAATAATGAATTGCCCATACTTATTTATCTTCATAAACTGAAACAACATAAGTAAAAGTACTACCTACTATGTGCATAAAAAAAATCAGAATAGGGTAGACTCCAAATGACTACTGTCTCTATTTTTCTGTGAGGTCTTGTCAGCATTTCCAGCAGACAGGAGGGTAAATGGCATGAACAGGAGACTGGGCATACCAAAGCGCTCCCCACAGTCTGTTGCCAAATGTAACCTGCAAGCACCCCACCAGAAATGTCCAGTGCAGAGCAATATTCTGATGATGGATCTTTAGAAGTCTTTACCTCTACTTTGCACAATAGAAGATCTGAGGAATTAATACTAAAACTATTTTTAATGGTGAGAAACAGACATTTTATGTATCTGTGGGTTGCTTGGATATCACTGTTTAAATAACTTATTTATGACTACTTCACACATGTTACAATTCAACTAACAAAGACTAATACTTAAAAAAATGATTTGATTAACGTTCAGTGACTCTGTACTAGATTGGATGTATTATCATTTCCTTTGGGGCTAATAATAGTCCTGTACATTTAAGTAAGTATAATTCCATGGTGTGGTTCCATCAACCACTGAGAAATGAAGCATGTCAGGTCGGCTTGTCACCAGGACAGATCTGATGCCAGAGAGCTTGGATAAATGGTGACTCAACCCCTCCTCTATGCCAGCATCTTGGGAGATGGAGGCGCCAGGTGGCCAGGTGCCCAGTGAGTGGGCAGTTTCAGCAGGATGAGGTTTTACAGTGTGTGTTAGTTCTCTAAACCTTGTAAGATAGCAACCAGCAACGAAGAAAATCGTCACAATAATCATATATATTATATGTTCTCTAAATTATGAGCTCAGAAAGCCAAGGGAGGCCACCTCCAGGTCTGTACATGGTGAGCTGACCTTGGAGTCTCTATTTTTGCCATGGGAATTAAGAGACTTTCTGTCTCTTTGCCTCCCAGGCTGCTGGGAGAAGCCCATTGGCTCAAAAGAAATTAAAGAGCTTTGAAACTTGCAAAGCCACAAAAAGGCATTAGCGTGAATTCTCCAGGCTGTGAGACCATCGTCTAAATGACCTAAGTTTCTAAAGTAACCCGTCTTTGCATAGGTCATATGGCCATTTACCAATTCTACTGGGTGCATCTATTTCAATCTGGTCAACAGCCTGACTTCATGCAGGAAAGGTACTAGAACCCTATCTCAGATCCAAGACAACAAGAATATGACCACTGTGTGAAATAAACTATGTAAGACCTGAGCATAGCAGATTTCAAGTGCCTTTGTCTATGTAAACTAACTTAAAGTAGCTGTCGAGGAACCCCACTATGATTTGGGGATGGTTTCCCTTACTGCCAGAGGCTCTGTGACTCACCCTGAGCTGCCCAGGGTCCTCCCTCCCTTCCACTCATCCACAGCCCAGCTGACCTCAACTCAGCCCAACTGGCCTCAGACAGCCACATCCACCTTACACCGTGCTGCCTAGGAGCCATTGTTCAAATGCATCCGGGACGATACTCCTCTATTCAAACAGGGATTCCTGGAACTTTTATAGGAATTACTTGTCACCTTTTGTAGGAAGTCTTTTCTGAAGCTGTCCTTACTATCTGTCATTAGAAGAAGCTCCAAACACCCCTCTCACCACCAAGTAAACAATGCTGGTCATTTTCCTCAGAGGACCCTGGCTGGATTGTTTCACAGTAGCATCATTGAGAAACAAGAACGTTGTGTGAACTTGAACATCAGTGCCATCTATCCAAGCATTCTTCCCGCAAGGGATAGCAGAAGCCGATGTCCAGATGGATGACTGAACATAGTTCACGGCATCACTTAAGGGCCACTTACATGAACAGTCCTCAGCAGCCTCCGGGGAAAATAAGTGTGAATTTTCAGGCTGGGCAGAAATGGTTCTCTACGGTCATCCACAAAGTATCTTTCCAACCTCCATCTGACCACTTTACCACACCAACTGTCTGTGGTCACGATTCTCAGCCATATTTTCTACCGTAAATATGGTAGGCAGCTCTACTCCAGTGGAAAGTCTCTGCCCTGCCTATCTGCTGGAAAGGCCCCTGATTCTAGGCTAGATGTGACCTGCCGAGACCTGTCGCTAGGGCCTTAGCAGGCCCGGCTTTCTGCTGCTTGCCCCTGGAGGATGGCTGCGGAGTGATGTGTACAAGTCTGTGGTGTCATGCTGAGCTCTCAGCCCTACAACACCAACTAGCACATGCCAGCCACTCACGCTTAAACACT